ATCAAGATGAATTTTTTTTGCATTAAAAGCAGTTGATAATTAAGAGTTAAAAAATTAATCTAGTTTCATCAGCATTCAAGTTTACTCAACATTTTAGTTATTTAATAAACTAAAATAATCTAGTTAGCCACACCATAAAAACTTTATTAATCATATCAACTTGATTTAAGTAAAAATACAAACACAACCTAGTTTCAACGAAGGCAACTTTAAACTAAAAATACTCCATTATATTTTCAAATTTTATTCTACAAGAAAACAATACAAACACTTGGTTGATTTAAAGATATATTAATTTATATAATTTTACTTATTTGCGTAAACGTACTTACTCTTTTAGATATTGCCGTGCTGTACGTTTAAAAAACGTTTTTTTATTATTTTATAAAAACATTTTAAAAACGTTCATAAGCTAACTGAAAAATTTCGTAGTATATTATAAAATAAAAACGCTTAAAAAACGCTAAAAATACTTTTTAATTAAAAATAAAAAAAACTTTTACAAAAAAACGTTTTAAAAACGTTTGCATTGGTTCTTTTACCGTCCGACCGTAAATTGAACGGAATTAAAACGTTTTAAAAACGTCCTGTGCTTACTGGGAAGCAGTAATGTTAAAGTCGTTTTTTATTTTAAAAAGAAAAAGTTTTCAAATCAAGGAAAATTTTCCGCTTGTAATTAGTATATGCTCTATCTAGTACATCAAGAATTTTAATTTTCTGCAAACATTTTTGGAGAAACCAAAAATTAGAAAACAGGGAACTAAAAAGACATTCGCTTCATTAAACTTACCATCGAGCCTTATGTTTAACTCAGTACATAAATGATTTAGCAAAAGAACAGTGATAAACAATTTAAAATAAATTGAAATGGATTCCGAAGAATCATTAGCTCTGCTTTCTGCAATAAATAAAGTTCTAAGCTTTTATTTGTAACATTTTTTATATGTTCAATTTTTAAGTATGTTCGTAGCATATTTGAAGATGTTGAGCAACAATTTTTCTAAGTGAAAAAACAACATCTTTTAATTCCTAAATAAGATTCAAACAATAGAAAATATTATTATTACTTGGCTGCAATAATCGTGTAATTAAACAAGTTGTATTAAAATATATTTTGTTATACACAGTACAACAATAAAAACAAAAATTATTATTAGATTTAGTAGAGAAAATGTAGTTACACGATTAAATACTTTAATAATATTTAAAGACATTTCTGTAAGGCAGAAATATCTTTAAATAATAATACAACATTTTATTATATTTAAAGACTTTATAATATATATTATTTCTTTAATTATATATATTCTAATGTCTTTATATAATATCTTGAAAGGCATATTAAAAGACATTATAATATATATATATATATATTATATATATATATATATATATATATATATATATATATATATATATATATATATTATATATATATATATATATATATATATATATATATATATATATATATATATATATATATATATATATATATATATATAATGAAATATTTAATATGTAAAAATATTAAACATTTAACTTCATATATTATAATTTCTTTTATGATGTGATTAACATAATGTTAAAGACATACTTTATGTTTTTAGATTTTTAATTTAAAAACATTTAGATATGTTTATAACAATTCAAAATAGTTAAAGACATATTTAAATGTTTAGAGGTTTTTTAATTTTTTTTATATTGTCAGTAGTTTTTGCCCCAAAACACTTTAACAGTTCAATTTGTCATGTATTTGATAGTTAAAAAGCTTTTTTTTTACATTAAATGTAAAATCAAACATTCTCAAAAAAGTAAGTTATCAGAAATTCTATCCATATGAGCTAAAATCTTTATCCAATATTTTTATTTTACTCAATTTGTACTCAAGGAACACGATAATTGTGTTGAAAAAAAGCGGAAAATATGTTTAAAATCCCTTCATAACAAAAAAGAAGACTCAAAATTCTTAATTACTAAAACAACTTAATTATTAACTATTTTAATGCATTTATGAACAATTTCTTCTTTCATTTGTTTCCTGTCTTTATTTCTATTCAGGCGAGTTTCCACTAATCCGTTTTTTTACGGGAACGGAAAAAATAATCAAGTGAGCATGCGTAATAAAAGTTTTTATCTGTCCAAAAGAAAACTGCGCATGCTCACGTGATTATTTTTCCGTTTCCTTTCCCTTTCCCCTAGAAAAACGGATGAGTGGAAACTCATCCAAAGAATTGCTAAGCAAAGTGATGTTTTTCTACAATATTTTCTACGGACTAACTTTGATTCGCTTTTTTTCTTTGGGCTTCTATTCACACTTAAAAATTAAGTAATATTTTGAGCTAGGCTGCGTCTGCTTTTTAAGTTTAAGAAATGTTATACACAAGTTTACCATAGTGTTGAAGAGGAAGTCCGAATTTATTTTTTCATAATTGAAATTTTTTCGTTCCTTACTCACGATTAAAAATGTTTTGTATAACAAAACTGGGGCATATGTTTATCAATTAATTGCCTTTGCCTCCTTATGATAGTTAACTATGAAATTTGACAAAAATTAGTTCAAGTAATTAGTTCAAAGTGAAATAATCACTTTTACTGTTTTTTAAACTAACAAAAAGAAGGACTAAACATATAAAGTTTTATATAATGAAATAAAAAAGGTTAATTAACGTTTCTTATTAAGTTTTATAAGTCAAAAGTTAGTTGTTTTTTTTTGGGTACGTCAAACGACATAGCAGACACGCCTAGACACGTTCCTGTTAAGCATTTAAATCAATATCTTTACTGTGATGACAAAATTTGACAAAGTTTTTAAAGTGTTTGCATGGAATTGCACGCCCACTAGAAACATATTTCACATATTGTAAATCATGTAGATTTTCTTTGATTTTTCTAGTTACTTCTTCTTAGTTCTTATATTTATAACTCGCGTCATGATAAATATTTTATGAAAAGTAACAAAAATATTTTGTTTGAGAAGTTTTTCTACTTAAAAATAAATCATAATTTTGAAAAGTAAAAACAAACTTTTGTTCCAGTAATAACATTGAACTACATACTGAACAACAAATTGATAATTTTAAACAAAATCTCCTTCAAATAAGAATCATTTTTAGACTTTCTTTATAGTTTTTCAATATCTTTTTTTAAACACTTCAAGCCTTTAAAATTTTTATACCGCCCAATTTAATTAATGAAAAACTTTGTATTTTGGTTATGTATGCATAAAAATACCTTGTGAGTTTCACAGTAAAATTTTTAAAAACTAGCCTTGACATGAGGATTGTTACTTCTAAATTCAAAAAATTAATTCTTTAAGATTGAGTTGTAGTAACCTTGTTTGATCATGTTGGTTTTTCTTAACATTACCGAACTCTATCTTGAAAACTAATTCTGGTAAAATAATGTTTTTCATTTTTTTTCTTCGCAATGGTAGAACCAATTGCTCATATTAAACATGTTTTAAAGCTTAATAAGATTAAACGTGTTTTGAAGTTCAACTCAGCACATCAAAGCTCGATATCTTTTTACGTTTTTATGGTTCTGGGGAAAGTGTTTTTAAAGTATATTTGTACTTTATGGAAATAAGAGTAAGTTACAAAAACTTTTTACATAAAATTGTCTAGTTCACAACCTTTCTTTAAGTTATTGTTATAAATAGTTCTCTTTGCTTCTGTTGTAAAAGATGCTTCATAATTATAATTTGCTAAAGAAACTATTTTTTGAAATCCGTTCCTTGTACAAACTAAAATCTTTATTATTTTTTTCTCTTTCAACCTGGGATTACATATAAATGTTTTTCTAAAATCTTTACTAAGTTAAGAGAAATCTGTACATTGCTAAATTTAAATAATTTAAATAAACTAACTGAAAAATTAATCATGAATCTCAATAAAATATATTTCTCTTATTTTACATATTAGTTCTACTCTAACTATAATCAGGGACAGATCTAGAATTTATTTCTAATTTGGCAAAATTTTTGTGTCCAAATAATCCCTCCCTCTAACCAACCAGTCTAACAACCCCATCTCCTTTTCAGTCTACTCTCAGAGACCAAAGAAATGCCCCCTACCAATTAATCAATTTTGAATATTTCCCCATCTGTTTAACTCTTAAAAAAATTCTTACTTCACCTTATTAATTATGGCCTTATTCTCTGTTTTCTTTTCCTGAGTCAAGTTTTTTTTATTATGTTCAAAATCCTTACTAAATTTGCGTCATTACCTTTTCTATGAAAAATACCCATAAATTTAAATTGAATTGAAATTTTATTTTTTGTTGTTTCTAACAACCCATGAATACTTTTGGCTAAAAGTTTCACAGTTACCAATTACTTAATATGGAATGTCAATTATGTGTAAATAATGCAATTTTTAGACGTAAGTGTGTTATGGTTTTGATGTTTTTAAAAGGAATGACCTATTCCTTAAAATCATCCCGACCATTTGAAAAGTAAACCATTCCTTAAAATCATTTAGATCATTCGAAAATAAGACCATTCATTAAAATTATCTAGACCATCCGATTAATTCAACTTGTTTTAATATTTGTTTTATGTTATATATGTATCAAACTTACACCAAGTTACATATCTGTTTTATATACAAAATGTATCAAACTAGCCTTTTAAAAAACCAGTCTTTTAAAAAGTAACATTAATAATATTATTTTTTCATACTCAAATGTTTGTGTAGTTATGTTAAAAGAAAATGTAATTTTAACTTAACCTAAACAGCTGAAGTTGTACAGCCTGTATAAAATTGAACTTTAAAAATGAAAACAACACGAAGCATTTTTAAACGAAATTAAAACCACAGCTAAAAATGTAGCATATACTTTCATTTATAAAAATACATTTTAAAAGTTAAAATTTTTTAAAACGCATTTACATAAATTTTATTTTCATCACATGTTGGTCAGTTTAAGATAAAATATAATATATTGCAGCCTACTTTTATAATTGTAAAAAGATTTTTTTATAATTTATTTTTTTTTAGTGCCTTTTTTTGCTATAAACAGCGAAACCGTTTTACGCACAGCAAATTATTTAACAACAATAAAAACGCTACAAAAAGAGTATGAAATAACATTCGAAGCATTTTTTACTTCATATATTCCAAATGTTTGGTCAGATGTATTACATTTAGATTGTAATAGTGAACGAGTTTATGAGATTTCCATTTTAAATACTCTTCTACATGCTTGGGCATCAGTCAACAATAACGCCTTATATGGAGTACCAGTAAAAACATACAACCTAAACGAGTGGATAACATTTTATGTCAGACAAAGTTTAATCAATGGATATTATACTCATACTGTTCAAATCAATAGAATTACTGTTAATATGCTTCAAAATACTGGTGCAAAGGTTTTTCAAAATGTTACTGTTTATGCTCCTATATACACTGCACAACCAGGGTTTTTAAGAAACTTATTGGTAATAAATGCATGTCCAAGTAAGTAATATTTTAAAATAAAAATTTTTTAAACAAGCAATCCACTATATACATTTATGTACATTTAGCTAGCAGTTAAACAAACTTTTACATTAGTTAATATTGACAGTCTAACATTCACAATAGGTGCTATCTTCTAATATCGCTAAAAATTTCTTTATATTTTTAATATAGGTTTAACGGAAGGTAGAATAATATAGGTAGAAGGTAGAATAATAGGTTTAACGGAAGGTAGAATGTATTTTATTTTTTTCAAGACAAAATGATTGAGATATAGGCCTTTCGTGATAAGCAATTACCGAAACCAAAATATTTATTATCTAACGGTTCAGAGAAAAGTTAAAAGTGAGTTGTGTTAAGTGATTCACTGTGCGCCAGTACTGGGACGCAGTTAATAAATAAACACAGCCGTGAATTAATGATAAAGAATAGCGGCATAACAAAATAACTTTGAAGGTGAGGGAGTAAAAACAATAGGATTTGCGATCCTGGATCCAGGGATCCCGAAATCCCGGGATTCTACCTAATTTTTTAACCCCGAACTTCCGGGATTATTTCAAAAATATCCCAGGATTTAGAACTTATAAAACTATGATTAATACCTGCGTTTAAATTGAGTCAAATAAAACAAACGCTGTTGCTCGCGCAACGGTACTGTCGCTTTAATTTTTTTCGTAATATCACGGTAGCAATTTCTGATTGGTTGATTTTTTTTTTCTTTTATTTATAGAATGCATGCCCGAACCAAAAGCCTTAATTGATGTATGTACACTCATTGTGCCTATCCCTAAATCAGTGGATGTATGCACACTCACTGCGCCTTTTCTTAAATCAGTGGATGTATGTACACACTGCGCTTATCCCTATATCAGTGAATAAATGTACACTCCCTGTGCCTATCTCTAAATCAGTCGATCTATGTACACTCACTGCGCCTATCCCTGTATCAGTAAATATTTGTAGATAATAAATTTAAATGTAGCTTTCAATATACAACAATAATAATAACTTTCAATAAAAAAAATTGTTAAAAGACAATTATAAACGTTAATCAGTATGTAGGACTCGATCCCGAAACTCCCTTGAGTAATAAACAACTAAGATAACACAATGCTAAACAAAAATATTATAATCGCATTTTTTTTAAATTTGCACAAATAAAACTTTCAAAATTAACCAATCATATTTGCAGCCGTGACTTTAAATAAACCAATCAAACTTTACTACCGTGACTTTAAGATAAAAAATTAAAGCAACGCGTTGCTTTAGATTTTTATCTTAAAGTCTTGCGTCTAGCGCAACAAACAAAAGTAGCAACCAAGTTACGATATTTAGCACCAGTTTAATGGAATGTTTTCGTTATTGATTTATAAGTTTACAGTAACTTTCAATTGTATATATTGTTATCACTACTGGCGCGTTTATGAGGAAATAGTAAGAAACTAATTTTAGTTATTAAAACTAAATCATAATAATAATATAAATAATTAAAATAATAATAACAATAATGAAAAGAAAAAGAAAAAATTTTTTTGCATTGATTTATATTGTGTTTTTATAATAATAGAGTGTATTAATTTAAACTTTTTGAAATATAAAAATTCACCTTAATAAGAAAGTTAAAATTGTTAATAAATTATTATATTTTCTTTGGTTCGTCAAATTTGGATACTATGTCAAATTAAATAGAGTTCAACAACAAAACCCCTATATGGAAGCATATTCTGAAAGTGAAATAGCAATGTGAAATCGCAACAAAGAAAGTGAAATAGCAATGTGTAAACTAAGTCATTGCAAAAAAGTGTCATTGCAAAAAAGTATTGAAAATTACGGGGATCAACAAAATTTCTGCATTCTTCAGTTAGATAAAATAAATTTAAAAGCAGAACTGGCATGTTTTCCGACATAGAAAGAAGAACTGCAGAGTAAAAAAAGTTAAATTAGTTCATATTTTTCATCGAATATTAATAAAGTGGAAAAGTTATCTGAGCTGCTTGCAAGTTTAAAGCTAAAGGTGAATTTGTTTTAACGTAATATGCACTTCTATTTATGTACTGGCTTTGAGGCGATTTGTCGACATACCTAAATCTCCAAACACTGTTAAAAAAATGGTACTTGATTTCTCTAACAATATAAAGAGTGGTATAAGAAATGAATTAAAACAAAAAATTAACAGTGGAACTAAGTTTACAATTTTTTTTGATGAGTGGACATTGATTCAGAATACCCGTAATTTAGATATCAATTTACACAATTGTTAGAATTTTTAGAATTAAGGTTTAGTAAGGATTGTAGGGACAATGTCAGCTGAAAAGTGTGTAATTTTACTTAAAGAAAAACTCTCGGCGTTTGGTTTAAATCTTGAAAATAGTATTGTGTGTATAATGAATAAAGATAAAACCAGTGTAATGAAAAAAATTGAAAAAATATTACAGATTAATCAACAACTATGCTTTGCTCACGGTATTGAATTGGCTATTATTTCAGTTTCATATAATACGTCAGCATCAAATTGTACGCAGTGACATTTAATCGAGGAAATTAATAATCACACTGAAAATTTGGAAAATGAATATGAACTTAGTGTAAGCTGTGAATCAGATAGCGATGAAGACGGTCAAATAATTTAAGACGTAATAATTACAAACAAAGCAAATTACAAAATTGGTCCAATGATTGATAAAGTTAGAAAAATCGTAATGGTTTTTAAAAGATCACTAATTAAAAATGATGACTGTCTTTAAAAATACGTAAAAAAATGACTTTGGAAAAAAACCTTTTGATTAATCAAAGATTGTGAAACAAGATGAAGCAGCTTACTATCAATGCTTGAAAGCTTTCATAAGTTAAAAAATTGGATAAAAATGGCGCTTGTTGATATCAGTACTAATGATTCTATAAAAATGTCAGATTATAAGTATGAAATTGTTTCTAAACTAGTAAACGTGCTAATACTAATAAAAGCAGCAGTGGAAGCGCTTTGTCAACGCGATGCAAACCTTATAATTGCTGACGTTGCATTAAAGTTAATGCTAACTTAATTAAAAAAACTGAATACTAAAACAAGTAGTTAACTTTTTAAAACATTAGCCTCAAGTAGTTAACTTTTTAAAACATTAGACAAAGGACTGAATTAAGTAGTCTACTAAAGACAAAATAAATAAGTTTATGTACAAGTTTTATTTCTTTTACTGCAATATGCTTAATTAAATTATGACTTTTCTTTTAATTTTAAAGCATAAAATAATACCGGGAAATTCCGGGAATTAATTTTCAAACCCAAATCCCAGAAATAGAATTATTCCAGGTTTTTGCAAACATTAACTGTACACTATACTTTTGAATACTTTTATTTATTTGATTAGTAAAAAATTGAAATAATAGACATTTTGAAAATTGGGAATAAAAAATTATTTTTTAATGATAGCAAAACTTATATAAATACAAAAATATTAAAAGCTTACTCAAAAATTATTATTTATAACTTAAAACTAATAAAATCATTTTCATGTAATTTATTTGTTAAAAACGCATGAATTTAATCTATATGATCATTGATGGACCATAGTGAATCAACCTTTTCATTGCACCCCGAGTCACTGTGCCCCACAATAATAAATTAGATTTAATTTCTTGGGACATGAGTGTTGTTAAAGGAAAAACAACTAAAAGAAAGCATAAATATCATCAATCCAAATGAAAAACCTTCAGGGCAAATAATAAAATTTTGTAAAAAATATTTTTGAACCACAATATGATAGTTAAATAGGAAAAACTTCAATTAGCTATGCTCTGAAAACAAATTAGCATACTGAACAGCCCTAATATATATATATATATATATATATATATATATATATATATATAATATATATATATATATATATATATATACATATATATATATATATATATATATATATATATATATATATATATATATATATATATATATATATATATATATATATATATATATATATATATATATATATATATATATATATATATATATATATATATATATATATATATATATATATATATATATATATATTATTTTACTGAATGGAGAATTGTACTAGACTATGATATGGTTGTAGTTCTATTTTGGAATATTTTTTATTCTTTGTTTATATGTCAGAGTTTAGGTGCATCCCGATTGCTTTATTGCATCTTCATAAAGAGTTGTTAATTTATTAAAATTAAGTTCATTTGATGAGTTGGCGAACAATATTAGCTCGATATTTAGTTTAAGATCATTTATTAAGTTAAGTGGATAATTAGAATCAGCATGTATATGACTTTTACCAGACTTGCAGTATGATTGGAATGAATTTTGAGTAAAATTAAATCAAACAAAAAGTTAAATCAAGGTAATTAAAAAATAACTACAAACGAAACATAACCTGGTCCAATACTCTATTCTGTAAAAATTATGCACCAAAATTGGTCAATGCTTTAAACCCTAATAGACCAGCATTTCCCTAGAAACCATTACTTAAAGTATTTAAAGTATTTAACAAAAACGCAATTAAGAATAGCTGCTCCTGCGCGCCAAACATTGAATTTATTATCAACACACACAGCAAAAATATTTTATATGGTGATGTAAAGTTATCAGAAAAAATGTGCAATTACATTAAAAAATCCCCTTGTCAACTGAATAACCGTTGGTTGTCTAATAACATAGTTTACAAAGCCACCATAAGCTCAAATAAACCTCAATATAAAAGTATACAACGGAATAAGCAAACTTCTTTTAAAACACGTAATTGCGTTAACCACCCAAAATCTTTTAACACACAAAATCACAAGAATAACACTGAGTTTAAAAGATGGTTAGAAAATAACTTTAAACTTTTAATAAAATGAAATAATGTTAAACGCTCTAAAACATACTATCGCGCGTCAAAAATTTGTAAACTCTGTTTAAATAAGAAATTCGAAAAGTTTTTTTACAAAGGAGACATTCTGCTAAACATATTTTAGTTTCTAAATGTAAACACAAAATTAAATTTCTCTTTAAATTATTCAATTGCAAAATTATTTAATTTAATAGCGTAATTATTTAATACCGTTTAATTGTATTTTTCTAATACGTCTTCTTGTATGTTAGAAACAACAACAATGTATATATATTATAATGTCAAACAACATGGAATACTATGGCATTCAAGGAATTGCTCTCTAATGGTTTCATCATACATGTATCTACCTAAAAGATTTCAATTCGTCTCTTTTAATAATGCTAAATATTTTCCAATAAAAAACTAGATAAGTATACACCAAGATTTTGTATTAAGAAAATTTCTTTTTCTAATTTATAAAAATTATGTTAACATCAAAAATATTTTTAACGGCTGACCATTTGCAAACAATACCAACTGATATCAAACAAATCATACAAAAAAATTAACAAACATATAATTAATAATTCATCCAATCTATTTCAATGGCTGTGCCCTAACAAACGAAGTCGTAATACCAACAAAACTGAACTCATCATTTTTAAATCAAGTCAATCTAAAATATATAAACATCTACAGTTTAGATTAAATGTCTAAAAATCGTTACCGTAGTTACATCAAATTGTCTTGAAATCAAAATTGACTCAAGTCTATTCTTTTCTACATCTTAAAAAGCTAGCAGTGAAGTTGTGAAGATCAAATAAATCCCAGCCAAAATTTGTCACTATTTTAATAATAAAAATTTACTTAATAATTACTATGTAATTTTTGGATCGCATCTCATATATACTTGTCAGTTTGGGGACAAAGAAAGTCTCATAATTTTTTAAGATTATTTAACCCAAAAAACAAGACTTTAAAACACGGTTATCATAAGCCAATGCATAAAATCTGGAATAAAATTACCTCTTCATCTTTAATCACTCAACTTTATTTCACAGTCTAAAAACCGTCTTTTTGACTGTTTGTTAGAAAATTATTAATGTAAATTGTTAGGCTCCCCGACAAGAAATTTTCATGTGGGCCATATATAGCAATTGCATCTCAACCATATAATTACCAGTCTCCTTTATATCTTTACCAGTCTCTTTTATGGGATGGCTTTGGTGCGTTCGATATGTGGCTTTAATTTTTATCTTATTAAAACCACAATAAATAGAAATGAAAACCACACTTCATTTTTGCTTGAAAGTTTCATGTGTCCCACGTGTGGTAAGCATATGTTAGCCATATATTTACCACTATTCTTTATGGGATAGCGTTGGTGCGTTCAATATGTGGCTTTTATGTTTATCTCATCAAAGCCACACTAAAAAAGAACCAAAACCGCATTATTTTTCTACAAGAAAGTTATAACAAACATATAAGCAAATCTTCTATATTGATTAAATTTATATTTAAACAGATCAGTAGGTTTATTTATGTATAGAATATACCAATAACTATTCATACAGACCTATACAAATAAAGCTTATCGTACTTTATGTTTACTTATTTGTTTAGAAATACCAATCAAAAAACTTAAATGGGAAAAAAATTATACTTTTTACTTTTATTTATAATTTTATTCACAAAAAAATATATACGTACAAAAACGATTCTTTATATATTCATTAAATTTAAAATGTACCTGATAACAAGTATGCTGTGTTGTGAGATATGTAGAATACGAGATATGTAGAATATAAAAATAATAATATTTTGCTTAAAAAAGCAAAAGAATAAGGTTTCTAAGCAAGTTTTTTAGTCAAGAATCAAAAAGTGATAATGAAAAAAATGGTAATCGTCAAAGTATAGTACTAATACTTAAAATTATTTTTATTAGTTTGCGATTTATTACCAACGCTGTCTACCAATAGTTATGTGTAAGTAGAACTATTATTACTAAATTAATGTTTTTTATATTTTAACAAATTAAATTATTTTAAAATATATAACTACCATTTATTGCTATGTTTTTGTGCTAAGGTAAAAAAGAATGCTTTTTTAAATGTGTTAATGATCATGCTTTTTTATTAACATAACAATACTTATTGAAGCTAATTAAGATTATTGTTTGGGAGATGTGTAATTCAGGTAGAATAGGTTTTTAACCTGATAAAATTGAGATGTGAAGTTCAGGTAGAATAGGTACGTTTTGTCTTAACATTATGCTGGACTCCCACTGGATTTTTAATGTTTTTGTTTAAATGTTTTTTCCAGTTTTATTGTTTGTGATGGTCTAGAGTTTTCTGTTAGTATTATTAAGTATACTGCTTTAAAGTCATTTTTAATCATTTATCAGTTTAAGGCTTTTTTTATTTTAGGCTATGGTTTTCTACTTTAAAAATGTTTTGGTACTTTATAAAATTGGTGTTGACAACAGTTAAATTATTAAATACTTATTTAAAAAACAATAATTTTTTACTTTTAGTTTTGTATTTTTGCAATATGCAAACTGCATATAACAAAAGAAATTAAAATAAAGCACTATTTTTTGAGTTTTTTGACAACTTTTTTAAACATTTATAATTTTATTTTTTTAACCATTTTAATGATTTTTTTACGTTATAACTATTTAATTATAAATTTTAGGAAAATTATTCCCTCTAAAGACTGATTAAAAAAACTTTTTATTAATTATCTTTTTTTAAAAGCTTGTATGAATGTTCAAAAGCTTGTATGAATGTATGAATGTTCAAGAAATTTTACACAGTTTTGATTATAAATTATTTCAAAATTAACATATAATATTATGTTTTAGGTATAAACTTAACAGGATTGTTATTTTACAATTGTTTCAATTTAAAATAGCTTTAGCATTAACCAAAATAACGTCTGAACTGTGTACGAAAATCTTCTTCTAAAAATTTAACAACTGCCTAAAATTTGCATAATGCAATATAAGGAAAGGTTTCGTATGTTGAGTATGTTAACAGTGTATTGTTTTTTTTTGCAGCCGAAATTTTATATTAGTTATTTTTGTTTTTGGAGATTATCATAATTTAATCTTTCCTCTCAAAGATTATAACTGAATTGTTTGTTAAAAATAAAAATTAAAAATTATATTAAAAATTGCGTTGTTTTTAACACACCCTATTATCTCATCTTAGGAAACCAGTTTCCTAATATTAACTTTTTTAAATTAAACTCAAAAAAACTCAAATTAACAAAAAAAAATAGTCACAAAAAAAAGATATATAAAATTGTATCTTCAAGGGTTATACTTAAGTAAAAGGTCATTATCTCAACCATAAAAAAACAAAACAAATCTTTCTAATCTTTAAAAAAGATATCAATACTTTTTTTAAAAAAAACTTTTGCTTATAAAATATCAAAACATAGCTCCGCGGCGAATAACTTTAGAAAAACGCGCTTTTCCTAATAAAAAGGCGCATCTCGTCTTGAGGATCTAAAAACATAATATCTTAAGCAACTTCAACAAGTATTATCATAATTTGAATAGCGTGAAAACAGCTTATTTATTATCTCAAATAACCCATGAAATTAGAAGTAGATAAAGATAAAAAATTGAGGATGTAATAAATTTTTGATGATCTTGTTTCGCTCTGACGCAAATACAAAAAATTAAATTATAAAAAATTGTAATAGCAATGATAAATTTTTTTAACAGTAAAAAAATTAAAGAATATTGACTATACAACCAAGAAATTAAAATAAATAACACAGTCTTGTATGAATAGTCTTAACTAATAAAGTTCTCGAAAAATTATTAGTCTACCCGTAAAAGAGGTTATACCATCTTAGGAAGGTGCTCATCCTACGCAACCTTCCCTTATATATCTTTATATGGGTATATATACCGGGTAACCACGCAACTGCTTTACGCTCAAATTTAAGGCTCTATCCATGCTTGCGATATCCGTGGATCTATTTGTTCACAAATTACGCAATGATATCAACACAGAAAAAAAAACAACGTAACAATTAAAAAAAAATTAATTAAAAGGGATCTGCAAGAATCAAAAAGACAAAGCATTCTGCAAATGTTGCAATCGGATAAGACTACATCAAATTTCAGAAAAGCTTTAAACTGCTACAGAACAGCAATTTTTTTGAGTAAGAAAACTTTTTCATGAAACAAGAGATATTAAACGACGTTTTAATAAGCCAAAACCTGTGAAACGATCACCTCAGCTTTTAAGGTCTGTCAAAAGAAAAGTCAACCAAAATCCATTGCGCTCCATCCGCCAGTTAGCAAGGGAAGCCAATGTTGCCAACTCCACAATGCAAAAAGTTATGAAAGATTTGAATCTTAAATCCAGAGCTGTTGTGACTAAGCATCTTATGACTAATAAACAGAAAGAAAGTAGGAAAGAGCGATGCAAAAAAATGTTAAACTGGCAAAAATCTTACCCTGGGCGTGTGACAATCTTCTCTGATGAAAAACTTTTCACTGTAAATAAAGTTACTAGTCGTCGTAACACAAGATACTTTGGTACTGCCAAAACAGTAAAGAAAGTCCCTGAAAATATTAGGTATTTATTTTCATCAAAAAAAACAAGCTTCTGTGATGGTATTTAGCGTGATAGCAAGCGATGGAAAAAAGTGTCTACCAGTTTTTGTGAAAAAAGGTCAAAAAATTAACAGCGATAAGTATATCCACCTCCTGCAAGAGAAGACCATTCCCTGGATAAACAGAAACTATTCAGATGGTCAGTAGGTGTTTCAGTAGGATGGAACACCAGCTCATACTTCAAAAAAGAAACAAAATTTTCTCAGTGAAAACATGAATCAGTACTGGGACAAATTAAAGTGGCCCCTATCTAGCCCAGATCTGAACCCATTAGACTTATTTATGTGGACGGCTGTGGAGAAGGAGGCTTGCAAGATTCCCCATGGAAGTACAAATCACTAAAAAAATCTATATGCAAAGCATGGGTCAAAGTTCTAGAAGAAGATATCAAGAATGCATCCAGATCCTTCCAGCAGCGTATCCAACTTGTGTATGATGCCAATAGTGGCCACATTGAATAATTTTAAACCTTAGTCATGAATAAACATATAGTCAAAATTCTTCGCTTAATTGATTGGCGTCTAATTGATTAGTAGTCTGCTCTGCTTTGTTTTTACTATTTCTTCTTTTTTTTTTTTTTTTTTTTTTTCTTTTTCTTTCTTTCTCTGTTTACATAACATAAGAATTTTACAAATTCCACTACATAATATGAAATTTAACAAAATAAATAAAACAGATAGGAACTCAAATAAGATGAGGATGACAGAACGTCATCGCAATCTTTTCATAGAACCCCTTTAACAAGTTTTAATTAAAATATCATAATATGACATACAAAATAAAAAATTTTAATAAAATATCATAGCAAAATGCGTAATCCGCTGATAAAATTTGTCAAGCAACAAACAAGAGTAGAAACAAAACAAAAACGTATTATAGTTATCATTTTTATTTAACTCAAACTTATTATTAAAGCTTATAGGAGAGATATTGTGATTGTAACAATACATTAAAATTAAATGCTGGTAGATATTTATTTCAAATACATTCATCATTTTCATATCTTTCATCAAGAGATTAGCGTGTTCCCGCCTATTTTTAAAGTAAATGATTCTACAGCCATGTTTCTGAAAACTATAAAATTTCTTAAGCTTTGCTGTTTGAGTACTTGCCCATGAAATGTTTGCATAGCTGATGAGGCTGTGAACTAGCCCAAAGTAGATTAATTTAAGACTATTTATATTGATGTACGAGCAAACTCGATACATTAAACCTATGATTTTGGTAATTTTTGACTGGATATATATTATATGAGGAAGCCAGGATAATTTTTCATCAACAACGATTCCCAAGAGTCTTATATTGGATTACTTTTTAATTAATTTGTCATTTATAAATAGGTTCGGCAACTTGAGAGGAAGATTTTCTTCTTGTGTTTTTTTTTATGAAAAAGTATATAGTTTGTTTTCTCGGCATTAAGTGAGAGTCTGTTAGCCTTAAACCAGTTATTTACAATATTTAGTTCAATATTAATGTCCGCATATAATTTCTTGATATCGTTGTTGGTAAGAAATAAATTCGTGTCATCTGCAAACACGACTGAATTAGGTTTTAAGGATGCATTACAGAAGTAATTTATATATATTAAAAAAAGAAGTGGACCAAGAATCGATCCTTGCAGAACTCCACATATGATATTTAACACTCCAGATTGGGCATTATTTACATATAGTTTTTTGTTTTTAAGATAGCTTTTAATCCAATAATAAGTTTTATTAATTATTCCGTAATGTCTTAATTTATCTAAGAGAATGCAGTGGTCCACTGTATCAAATGCTTTTGATAAATCAAGAAATACTCCTAAAGTAAATTTATTATTTTCAAAACCATTAGTTATTTGATTTACTATTTCAATGATTGCATGCTCAGTAGAGAGATTTTTTTGAAAACCAAACTGATTTGGGTAAAAATAGTTGTTTTTAATGAAGTAGTTATAGATTCAATTATAAACGACTTGTTTGAATAGTTTTGAAAATACAGAAAGTACTGATATAGGCCTGTAGTTTGTAATATCACAATGATCACTACATTTGTACAATGGAGTTACTTTTGCTTATTTAAGTACATCCGGAAAAATCCCAGAATTTAACGAAAGCTTTAGTATATGTATTAGAGGTCTTTTAAGACTGTGTTTGTTTGCAATAACTATATTACAAGATATCTCATCAAATCCTGGAGCCTTTTTTTTTTTAACGAGAAAAAAACTGCCTCAAATTCCTCATAGGTTAATTCATAATTAGGCATGATAACATTATTCGTTGGTTTAAGGAAGGTTTTAAATGATACAGATGTTGGTACTATTTTTTTAACAAGATTTGGACCAATACTTGTAAAATATTTATTGAATTC